ACTGTACATTTGTTTCATTACAGATAAGACCTTCTTGTTTGAAACACTATTTACTCGTTCCAAAACTAGAGCAGTTTACCCTTGTATCTGGTGAGATGTTTGCATACATTTTCTATTAATCACGGGCAGCAATAATTCATCAAAATGATTCAATGATGTACTGAAAGCATAACAATTGACATAAATACTGATGCGTGAGAGCACTTTCATCATTTTTAAGGCTTGTTTGAGGTGTCTGACTCACAGTGGTGAAGCAATGCTTTTAAGTCACCGTTAAGATAGCAGTAGTCTGCTGCATCCTCCATAACGTAATACCCATCACTGAGCTGTGCAAATTGTGTTCTGCTCAGCACTAATATTTTGGTAACGTCACTTGCATAATTATTTTAGTGAACCAAGCACTAAAACAGCCCAGACAACACACGCAAACTATTAACTAAAGTCTTTAAAGTCTGCCTCTAAACATATAACTCAAAGTGTTGCTCCACACTTCTGACTCGCTCCGCATGAATCAGAGGTTTTAGTCTTTCCCAGCACACAATGGGCAGTAAAACCGTCAAACAGTTTCGAGCAGAGGATATTTTCTGAGAAAGAAAATGTGTGCAGTCGGCTCAAACCTGATGAGTCAGCCATGGTCATCTTATGTGGTGTGTTTAAGAGGGCCATTACCTAGAGGCTGGAAATCCCCATAAGGCACAATTACCTGAATGAGCTGATTTATCTCCGCTCATCACAACCTATTATTCCTTGAAACCAAGAGTGCTAGGTGTGCAAGACAGCCGCCTTATGGAAAAGAGCAGCCGATTTGTTTGTTTATTGGGAAAGTGGTGCTGTATTTTGTAATGGGTGGATGTGTCTGCCCTGGACTTTCAGCTCTGTTTGAATACTTCATAAATATTGGGCTAAACAAGCAACTTGCTCGTTCGCATTTTTGGACAGCACTATATTGTGGCAAACACGCTGTGTCTTTGATATGCCTTCACAGCATTGTACACTTTGCTCACCTGCAAGTGAATTTAATGAGGCCATTGCAGCAAAGAGCTGACATCTCTGTTGTGAAGAGAGACATTCATGGTAGCCTACTGTAAGATGGGACTGCTATACAGCAATTATTTGTAACCTTTGGATATTGCTTTTGTGAAGCCTGGCTTCAAACCATAGTAATCAGTAAAAGTTGATAAGCATTCATACTTTGCTTTCGCTTTAACATCACAGCATCGTGGCTGTAAAAAAGGATGATATGACACCAGAAAAAAAGGCGTTTTATTAAACGAATGAATGGTCGTGCTGAGCTTTGTAAATATTTAATCAGCTACAGTGGGGGAGTAAAAATTAATTTAAAAAAGGCTACTCTGGTTACAGAAAGTAAAAGCCCTTAACCCTGTTGCAAACACCGTGTCTACAGCAACCTCTACACCGACCTTGGTCACGACAGGTGCATCATGTTTCTCTTGCCTAGAATTTAAAATGGAGAAATTTACATGAATATCTGAATACTCATTGGGGAAAAGAGCCGAAAAGCTGATGGGTGTAACTTGCATTATAAAATAAAGCATCCTGTACACGAGTCCTGTATCGCACCACTCTGAATAATTACTAGAGGTCATTAAATTTTCAACAAAGGCAGGGAGGAAAGGTAGGAACGAATGAATGGGTTGTAGAACAAACTGGGGAGGTTCTGACCAGGTGTGACAGAGTGCTCTGGGGTGTAGGGTTTTTATTTGATTTTATTTCCTTCTGGCTTTTTTCTTTGACAGAAACGAGACAAAACCCAGGGCTCGGGGGTGCCCTTTGTGTCTCGGCGGGTAAATGCTTCTGCTCTTTGAAGCAGCTCTACCTTTCAGGTGTTCATTATCCCTCAAAACAAATAGCTCCTTTATGTGAACGTCCCTCGTTTGTTTAAGACAATATCGTGTAATTAAAATCTAATCAGAGAAAGGAGGGAATCCATGAATATTTAAAACTGTTTGGGTTCTGAATCTTAATGAAATGGTAATTTATGATGGCTCCGGGCTTAATTCTAGCCAGAGAGCAAATTAACTGGATTTCCAGAAGTTCCCTCTAGAAACATCCCCCTTTTTTCCCATTGAGTGTGTTTAACATATGGAAATATGATTAAAGCATCCATTTTAAAGGCCAGACGATAAAATTGTATGTGAACGAATTTGTTAATAGGAGCTGGAATATGTGCACTTGTTTTTAATATCAGTGACTGTATCCGATACTATAGACTAATAAGGTCTGACAAAAATATCAGACATAACCTGATAAAAGCACTTCAACCTGAACAGTTTTTGACAAATGATTTATCTGATAGCAGATGAGGTAAGAATACCTGATAATGAAAGTGGTTTTCATCAAAGCTTAGAACATGTAACATTGTAGAAATCATCAAGAACAAGTCTGACATAACATGAGAAATATGGACGCTGAGAGACATCAAAGAAAGATGTCTGATGCTGTTCTCAAAGGTGATAGAATAACCAATAAAAGTAGACTGACCATTATAGCAATTACTGAGTGGCTAGTTTGTATGTTGTCATGGGTTGCTGATTTGGATTTGGCATGTTTTTGAGAAACTTTCTCACATTTACATCATTTTAATATTTGTTAACTAACTTTAAATGTGTTTACCATTATGGAGTCTTACTGCTTTATAGCATACTGAACTAAGTTAATGCTCACAGAAACCTCACAATGTCCTGTAGATGATTTGTGAGTTTACTATCTTTGTGGGGACATACAAATTTGACAAGGTGGCAATGAAGTTTAGCAATGGCGCTGGTTGTGACACAGTTAATCTAAATATCTGTTCAGTTTATGTGAATAAATACTGTGGCAGCAGTATCTGCTCCTGTTTGGTAGCTATACTTAAATAACACTTGTGGTGGTCTGACTGTGAAATTGTAGCCCCAGGTTTTTTAAGCAGTGTGAAAGCTTCTCTTTAGCTTCTCTTCTCTTTAGGGACACAAAAGGTCTTGAACTCTGCAGTATTTTAAAACATGTCATATTTGAACATGATCAATGTCAAGGTACAGATATTCTGAATCACCTGCAAATGTACTGATTTAGCAGCACATTTTTTCTTATGCTATAGTGAGCATTCATCTGTTGCACATTCATACACTCCTGTCCAAAAGTTTGGGGTCAGCACTCGGTACAATGTTTTTATGTTTTTGAAAGAAGTCTCTTATGCTCAACATGGCTGCATTTACATGAGCAAAATACAGTAATATTGTGAAATATAATTACAATAAAAAGTATATACGAAGAGTTCAGATGCAAAAGCCTCTAAATGCCATTTGAAATTTTCTTCTTTAATGATGATTTTTATCAAGCTTGTATATTTAAGTTCAGTAATTTCACTTAAATAACAATTAATAGGTAATTATCATTGCCATTTAAGTGAAATCACTGAACTTAAGTATACAAGCTTGATAAAAATGATCATTCTAGAAGAAAATTTCAAATGGCACTTAGAGGCTTTTGCATCTGAACTCTTCATACACATTTTAATTATTAAATCATTCTAATATAATGTATTTCTGATGGCAAATCTAAATTAATTAATAATATAATGCAGATTAAATTATTAATAGTACCCCAAACCTTTAATGTAGGCTAAGTCATAAGCTTTTTTTTCTTTTTTATATAAAGAAAACTAATGTTGCACATAGGCAGAAGTTGAAGCTGTTATGTCACCACTGTTATGGTTGAATTTATTTTGCTTTGTCATTGACGTCAATCATTTTACATCCATTCATGTTGCTTCAGGGCATTGCTGTGTGTCTATTGTCTGTCAGCACTGTTACAATAGCTTTGTTTATCTTTCCATCCTCCTCATTTAGCAAACCACCCATCCAAGCTGCCTGATAACACCGCCAATAACCGACAACTCAAATAGCAAGGTGACAGTCCTTAATCCACAGCAGTACTAAATACAGAGATCCAACTAATTCACTAGAACTAACCACTTTAATTCAGCCTCTTTAAACCCTTTTTGAAAATGCATTAACAGATTAATTCAAATGTAGCACTTTTCAAACCACTTTAAATTTAAATTCAGAGTCATATTTGCCGTGCCAAGTCATTAATAGACCTGCACTGAAAGAGCACATATAATAACAGCTGTGGGAGGATCTATGAGTATGAAATATTTATGTATTTAAAAGAGTGCTGTCAAAATAAAAGCCTCAAGTCAAATACACAAGAAACAAGTGAAGGAGAAAGGGAAAGTGTTCTGCTATGCGAGACATGAATCCATAAGAGACTTGAAGAGTGGAAGTACAACAGTGCCCTCCTCTGAGGAAAGCAAGACAAGTAAAACTTCAAGGGACATCCATCCAATAATTAACATTCTAGCATCTTTGTTTCTTCTGTTAAATTCAAAATCATTACAGAATTGAGCCTGACAGCCTTAATCACCATTCAATTTTATTGCATCTTTTTATAATAAAAGGGGGATGGGTAATAAATGGTGACAAAGTCTTAATTTTTTGGTGAAATATCCCTTTCATATAGGGCTTACGGCAAACACAAAAGTAAGATAATAACAGTTCTCTTGTGGGACTAGTATTTAAAACTATGTTAAGCGCCCTCTAGTGGTTTCCATTATAAACTACTTGCCTTTAAAACGCCAAGCTGACATGATTCACAACAAATGGGAAATTATGGCGGTGAACACAACCACACCTCAATGATATTCTTAACCATTTTAAAATAAAATAAACTTGTACTTACAGTCCAGTTGGATCTCCTTTGGAACTAATTTTGGAATTTGTAGGTCTTTTTCTTCATTTTATCCACTCAAATATTTTCAGCATAATAGGAAAACAGATTCTCCCAAAGTATTAAATTAATCTAAAATTATGGAATCCCATTCACTTTTATAGAGGGACTCAGTGGAGTGTAAAAATTGATGAAAGCTAAGGGAATCTGAAGGCCGGCGTTGTCCAAACAGCCACTTTTATTTCAGCGTCATTGCACATTTTGGTGAATAATCACCCATAAAGGGCAGAATATGAGAAATGATGGTAATATGAGATGCGCTCAGGAACAAATGAGCAGCGGCTCTATTCCTGGACCCGCGGCCGCTCTCTTACCGGCAGCAGACTCATATCATCTCCTCTCATCTCATCTGAGTGACGAGAAACGACTGGTTTCAGGTGTCTAATGAGCTGCGGCCAGTTTGCACTGTGCTATTTCAAACAAAAAGTATTTTAATTGGGGTGTTTAGTCACCGTCTCACCGCAATGAAACAAAATCAGATATCAGCCGGCAGATTGATCTTTCCCTTACATTGCTACTACCTTAGATGTCACATTCGTTGCATAAATTTCAGGGGGGGTTACGTTATACTGTATAAAAATGATAATAAGTGACTTAACTGTACTTTAGTCTCATATCTAGTTTTAATAGCCTCTGATTGCCAGGGGCCTCTAAACTAAAGCAACATTGCCTGAAACTGCCAAAGGAAGATGATCACCAGTGTCCTAAGCACATTCAGTTTGACCTGTCCTGTGACCCTAAATTTGTATAGCCAGAAACAAACCACCAGGGGCCCTGGACCCCTCGGTGCATAGAGCGGGAACGTATAAGTAGGTGTAAAGTCGTGCCCAGGGCCCTCCTTGGACCATGACCTTTGTACCAGAACTGGAGTTTAACTCAAAAAGATCCAGCCGTGTACAACACTGACTCAAAATGAAAGAAAAAAAACAACGTTTTTTAACATATACAATAAAGGTTTTAATAGCAATGTACAATGATATCTTCAGCTGCAGAAGAGCAGAATACATCTTCCTCCACGGGACATGGACGAATGGTTGAAATACCCCAAGGAAACTGTCTTTCAGATGTCCTTCCCTCCAGCGACACTGGCGTTTCTCACTTCAGCCAGATGCCTTTGTCACCAACGTCTTCATTATAGCCTTCAGCGTACCTCTTTCCTGGGAGCTAAGGAGATATTTTCACATGTTAGATTCTTTAAAGCCCTGGTGTGCAATGGCAAAATTTTACTGTGACCTTTAAAGAAATGTCTAGTAAAAGACTAGACATTTAATCTATATTCATGAGCTCCACTTCCACATGTTCTCTGGGCTAAGGTAAAGCTCCATATGTTTTAGCGCGAACAATGACAAGGTGGTGAGCAGATGAAAGATCTGATGGCTGAACACAGCGCTCCCAAAGATCAATATAATATTGCCAGGAATCACTAATGGCCATACAAAGTGCTTCTGTCACCCACTCCAAAAGTCTATCTGTCTACTGATTTTGTAATGCCACTGACATCACTGAATGTCCTCAGGTGATGCTTCTTCTCTGTGAAAACACTCAATCATTGTGCAGGCATTTGAAGGGACACTGTTTGGGCTCCTGGACATATGCAATTCCGTGTACACAAATATATCTGACAGGAACATCATTTAAGGTAGCTCTATCATCAGCAAGGCATCTCAAGCATCAATGATTTCATACTCTTTTTAATACACATACTTAATATTAGGGCTGGCGGAAACGATTATTTTAGTAATAGTAGTAAGACCTAGTCAATATTACCCGTCACTACTAATAAAAAAATAATGAAAATAAAATAAAAATAAAGCATTTTGGAATTGCTAATAGTTTAAGCAAGATATGCATAGCTGCACATGGCCATAATTAGGTCTTAATGAAATAGTTTTCCCCCCCAAAAAAAATTTACTCTATCATTACTCAAGTCATTCCAAACCTGTATGAATTTCTTTCTTGTGCTGAACACAAAAGAAGATATTTTGAAGAATATATGTAGCCAAACAGTTAATGGGCCCCATTGACTTCCATAGCATGAACAAATATATACTATGAAAATCAACTGTTTGAATACCGACATTGTTCAAAATTAATTTGTTTGGTTAAACAAACTATATGTGGCTTAGTTGGTCTTTTACATTTACTCTTACAGTTTCAGTGGGGGCACATACCGATTTGAAAGCATAGTAGGCAGCATCAAACTCATGAGCACCGATTGTGACCTCTGGGAGATATATGGGGACGCACGTCAGGTTGGCTACCCTCTGCTTGTCTTCCACCCTAGTGAATAAGAGAAAAGGGTACATTTATTCAATTTGCTCAAGGATGTGGCCAAGCTGGAAAGATAATATTTACAGCCAATACTAGCAAAAGTCAAAAAAAAAAAAAACATGAGTGAAATGTAAATAAATCAAGCACTTACAGCATTCGCATATGGTGGAAAGTGACATCATCTTGCTCCAGCCAAGGGCCCTTTTCAAACTTCAAGTATTCAATATCCTCTGCAACCTGCAAAGGTAAAGTAGAGTATTAGATTAAAAACATTTAAGTAATAAACATTTGACTGCCTCAATGTGCTCCACATACAGGTTTGAACCTTACCCTCTCAATGTCCTGGGCTTGGGTTGCGTCATAGGCAAGAAGCTCTGCCTCTTCACTGAAAATGAGACCGTTTTTCAAAACTAAAACTATTAATAAGCAGTATTAGTAGTTTATTGAGTGGTTAATTGTTAGTTAAGTGTGATCACTTATTTATATAATATTATTAATGTTTTTTATACAATTACAGATAATTACAGTACTTATATTGATTATAACATTTATATACAGTAATACTTATTAGGTGCTGACCTGATTTTAGGAAGGAAGGTCTTCTTGTATGCAGTCTCAATGCTCTTCAGGTAGCTTAAAGGAACATTCTGGAGGTATGACTGTATAAGGCAATGAAAATTTAAATTCACTGATGTGATGTTAGTCACTCATTCATCATTGCATAATCAGCGCTTCCTGAAATAATCAAAATCTCCTGAAATTTTTCTCCTTAAATAAATGCCTCCATGCACAAAAAAAAACATGGATTTTTTTTTAAATATATATTACTACAATTATGTAAAACTATACATTAAACCCAACCATAATTTAATCATTTTGTATTCAATTATTTTGTGTGATAATTAAAATCTTTGTCAGCGTGTAATTTTTAAACATTATAATCTTAATTATTTGGACCAACATGATCCTCTCACACACACCTTTCCTGAAGCCTTGAGATTCTTCTGGACCTCTTCAGCAGGTGAGTCGACATAGATGACCAGATGAGGGGGCAGAAACTCACAGATACTGATATTCTTAATCTCATTATAGTGGTCCACACCTGCAGAATAGCAACCAACACATACAGTTCAGTTCAATCAACAAAAAACAGCTTTGATATATTATCAGTTGCAATCCGACTTCAGTCACCAACAGCATTTTGCCTGCATTCTAATACTTTATCATATGAATTTCAGACATAATCCCTCACACTGCTTGCGGATGAAGCCTTCTTTGAACATGGCCTCCAAAAAAACCATGTCACTAAATGGAGATCGTTCCAGAACAACTCCCTGTCCTGAGCAAGGGAAACAGAGAAGAAAGAATGACAAAAATATCCTAAAAAGTTACTGCGTTCCCACAACTTACTAAAAATGTTACATAGGAAAATATGTTCATGCTGTAGGGTTGTAATTTTTAATCACAATATCAACAGCTTTGGTTACCTGTGGAGAGCAGGTGTTCAATAGCATCAGAGTACTGCAGCAGCCTCATGAGGTACATCCAAAACTGCAGGCGGTAAGAGTTACCGTCACTTGCTTTGGGCTCCAAGTAGAACTTCTCCAAACTGCAGTTTCCATTAAAAGCCTGATCTAGAGGAACTTTCTCCTTTGTCATTTTGTCAACATAGTGCGTGTCTGGCTCTGGCATGTACAGCATCCCTAATGAATGAAACATTGAAAACTGAACAAATACTTCTAGGAAATAGGAATAATAAAGAATAGAATAGAAAATATTATATTCCAGTACATCCCAAATAAATTCTGTGTGTGTGTGTGTGTGTGTGTGTGTTTAAAAAAACGAGTGAGCCAGAAATTGTCTTACCCATTTTATCAGCCAATTTTTGAGCAAGTGCTCCCTTCCCAGATGCCAAGTTGCCATCAATGGAAATGATCTTGCTGTTTTCATTGAAGCGGGAGGTTGTCCTCTCCCCCAGAGCATAAGCCCACCATCCATACCGCAGGTTACTGACAGCACTTGTGTGGATTTGAGCCTGGAGGGTATCAAAATATCCTGTTATGTTTCCTACCATAAAGGTGATGTAGTCTGACAGCAGGTACGTATGCTGTCCTGATCAGTTGAAGTATAGATACTTTAAACTATATGGATTCAAGCGAGTCATTATTGCTGACATTTACTGACAATCACTGCTTTAATTGAAAACTATAAAACAAGTATGTTTTGACAGAACTAGTGTCAGTCGCACACGGAGATCCATTGTTAAACATTGGTCATGTCTGAACATGAATGCATGTTACAAATAAAGTTGCATTGATTTAATAAACATATGAATAGATGCATTAATTTGACAGTAAGAAGTGATTTCCACAACTGTAGTTCTGCTGTTGTCCTTCAGTCTGAACTACAACGTTACATGAGGCCCGACATAATAGATGAAACTTTCGTTCTGGAGTGTAGAGGCTGTTTTTTCAATCTTACCGTCGACACAGGCGATACTGCTTTCCAAGCTGCAGCACCCGAGGGCACAATCAGTCGAAATAATCGCAACGACATTCCCGAAACTTCAATGATCCTCAATGTCGCCGAAGGATCTATGTGTCGCGTCGCGAAAGATTTGCGTCATCGGTGCGTCATATGGTTCTTCTTCTTCTTGCTTGTTTATGCCGGTTGGCATACAACTTTTGGGTGCATTACCGTCCCCTGCTAGTTAGGAGTGTGGGTCAAGATGGCATCATCCATTTAAACTAAAGAATTAGGAACACCATACTAATACTGTAACTATTTCGCCTTCGGAACTGCCTTATTTCTACGTGGCATTGATTCAACAAGGTGCATAAAGTAATTCTTTAGAAATGTTGGCCCATATTGAAAGGATCTTGGGGTTGATAGGGATTTGTGGGATGCACATCCTTCACTAACTCTACAAGGGCTTCCAATAATAAAAGGATCGATTACAAAAATGTATCACGTCTAACCATAGACAGCAGGTCTAACGCTAGTATGTGAATTTTGTGTCCACCACTACACTTATGTGTGCTAAGATCGCGCACAGTCAGAGTTAAATTGGCTTTGTAGATATTGTACATTTGAAAACCAGAAAAGAAATGTATGTTCACATTTGTGTGCTGGACAATGTGTTGCATTCCACTGGAAGCCGCGTCACATCATGCATTTTAACCATAGACAGTAAAAGATCTTAACGAACACAGTAAGTTACTCCCAATAGATGTCAGTAAAGTCAACGGTGGCGTTTAAACCCACAGAACCGCGGATAGAAGAAGAATACGCTGTTGCCACAGTTACTGTTGTTAGCTGGAACAGATTTGTTGTTGGCTAATATTGGAGCTAGTGTTTTGATGCTGTGGGCGACAGTTGTGTTAAATTCGACTGCCTTGTCAAATATACAGAGGAACGGTTTATTTCTGCTGTGACTGGGATCGGTAACTAACGTTATATATTAATTATACTGCTCTGAATCTGTGTTTTGAACGACCGACAGCTTGTTCAGTATCACAGATCATGTTCTTACCAAAGATCAGTAACGATAACGTTAACCAAATTATTTTCTGACCACAATTATTTCATTTCTCTACGGTTGTTAAGACCGTTTAACAACGTACGCGATTTTTGCTGTTAGAGTTTATTATTTATTATACGTAATGTTTAGCGTTTTTTTGGGGTAAGTTAAGTTATGAAACGAGACGTTATGTAGCTCAAAATCCAGTGCTGATTTGTAACTAGTAGCTACATTTAGTACAACTGTCTAACATTAATCATCGCACACATTTATTTATTTAACGTTAGATCAAATACGTAATGTTATTTTATTTTTCTATAAGCCAGTTTCTCTTCATATATTTCCTCTCTGCGTAACGTTATTTTACATCTGCAATTACTCTGCAACTTATTCTCTTTTCTCTGTTAAAGTTCAGTCTATTCTCGTGTTGACTTGTCTATTGCTAATGTTACTATCCATGTGATCCAATGAGCGGTTCACTCATATCTATACTCATATCTCTGTTAGGTTCTGGAGGATGTCTGGAGATCTTGTAGCTGTGTGGGAAGTGGCGTTGTGTGATGGTGTGCACAGGATTGAATTTGAACATGGGACAACCACAGGAAAACGGGTTATTTACATTGATGGAAAGGTAAACATCGTTTAATACACATAGGCCTAGCTGACAATCAGGAGGACAGTGCATGTAACATTTCAGCAGTAGTACTTGTAGAATCCACTAATGACAAATTACAAAATTAAAACTTATTACACAATAATTATTAAATGGAAACAAACCAAGGATGGACACAAATTGGGTGAAAATGCTGCAGTTAGTGTTACCATTTGGAAAATCTATGTAGAAAATCAGTTGCAGTGATTGGAGTGTGTGTTGGAGTGTTTGGAAGTGTCCAAGTATCGTACCTGAAGCTCAAAATTATAGTATTTGAAATAAAACTATCGTACATGAGTCAAAAGTACAGAATACCTATTCATCCACCAACAAACTTTTGAAACGACATGAAAATTATTTTATTGCTAAAATATCGACCTCATCTTGGAAAAAAAAAACTGACCTAAGCACTGGGGAAGGAACGTTTACTTACTTTTTAAAACTTTTTTCTTCTTCTTGCAAAACATACAGAGATGACATGTTAATGATATACAACTTTGTTTACAATATACAAAAACATTAACTTGTGCTCATGGGAGAGTCATTCTCCACGATGATTGGCCGAGAAGACATAGCGTGAGATGAGATGGAAGCCATGCATAACACCACGTTTACGTTCTTCTCACGGTAGACATAGAATCCACAGCTAGATCAATGAGTATAGAAGCTCTATGATTACAACGACCATCATTTGAAGTGTCACACAATTCTGAAATGATCATACATTATGTACAAATACGATAATTATTGTACATTTGGCAACACTGATCAGTTGGCAATTAACAATTATAAAATAAAATAAAAATAATTGATGAATAATAATGAAATAATAATTCAATATCCAGTTTAAAATTACATTTTTATATTTTAATATGTTTTAAATGTAATTTATTCCTGTGATGATCCTGACAATTCAGCTTTCCATACCTCCAGTCTTTAATGTCACATGATCCTTCATAAATCATTCTTATATGCTGTTTTGCTGCTCAAGAAACAATTCTTATTAATATCATAATATCACTTAATATTTTTGTGTAAACCATTTTAACCATGTAAACTATCTTTTCAGGATACATTTTTAAACCAAACCTCTGAACGCCAGTGTACACTACTGTTTTAGTGCACACTAAGGCAGATGGTTTATACCTGTTGCCATTCCATAATATTAGGAGAAGATCTGCACAGATATTAGAAAATAAGCGCAGGTGTCTCACCGGTTTGTTTTCGTGACTTTCACAGGAAGTTGTACGTAGAGATTGGATGTTCAAACTGGTTGGAAAGGAGGTTTTTCATGTGGGTGGCACAGACACGAAGGCCACTATTAACATAGACGCAGTGAGTGGCTTTGCATACGAGTACACTCTAGAGATCAACGGACAGAGCCTGAAGAAGTACATGGAGAATCGCTCCAAAGTTACCAGCACATGGCTCCTCAACCTGGATGGCATTGACTGCAGGGTGGTTCTGGGTAAGAAATACCTGATCATAGGTCCCTCAAAAAAAATATAGAGTTTGATTTATTTGTGATGAAGTTTGTCCCTCTTGTTTCCTCCACTCCTGTATTGCTAGAATGTAGCATCCAAAAGCAAGTATTAATTTTAATAGAAATAAGCTGATAACTTGTTAACGATAAACACATTGTGTAAAGCAATCCTCTATTTTGCCCCTTAAGTACAGCTGATCTCTATATGCTGAAAGCCTTTCCTCACTTAGCCTCTGTGACCGGCCGCACAGCAGCAGTGATTAACTTCAGGTTAAATTAAGGTTTAAAAAAAGATTGCAAATCGCTTTAACTAATTAGTTCTTAACAAAAGGAGGCGCTTCTAATAACAAAAACACAAACATCTTGTTACCCTGATGGGGCGCTAGTGAGCAGATGGCCTAGTTAGAAACATTTATTACTGTGAAAGCGAAACTTCCAAAGGACTTTCCAGACCTTTGATTTATATGTTTATATGGCTCATCCAGGGAATAGCAACAAATGTTGTGCCAGGACTGTTTGAAAACTAGCCAGGGGGGTGGGGGACCAAACCTTAGGTTGATATTAAGAACTCTTCATTTTTCAGATCCTCCCAACTGCATGTTATCACCAGATAATATAATGTTATTATGTTATTAAGGTTAATCATTACTTGCGATAATTTGGCTTGTGCTTTTAAACAACAATGATGCACATATGAAAATATCTGACAATTCAGGGTTGACCTTTACCGGTTAGAATCCAATGTGCAGATCCAGTTTCTATTAGAACTTCAAACACGAATAAAGTGTTAAATAAATGTTAAAAAACTACAAACATTGCATATGTGGGAGTCAGACGGTTAGAGAGGTAAATATTTATACAATGTTATCCACATTCTGTTCAACTCTTGCAAATATACGTTTGGTCATTAACTTTTAAATGCATCATTATGTGAATTGCAAACTCATGCATAAAAACTATATTTATGTTCAAAACAATAGGAAATTAAATTAAATTGAATATGGAGGCTTGAATGTGGAGAACTAATCAACACAGCTATCCATTAAAGACGCAATTATGACGAAGTAGTATTTTCCAAAGCTTGCTTATTCTGCTACGCACTTAAAAGTATGCACTTCTTCATAAAAACAGGACATACTTTTAGGGCATATAAGTGGGCGAATTGGAACGCAGCAACAGTCTCACTAAATAGTCAGTGAGGCTAGTAAAAAGACTGAAAGTTTGGTGAAGCAGTTGACCTATTCATATTGCTGTTTTTTATCTTTAACACTCATCCTGCAATCTGCTAATTCATCACTTATAAACTCTTCCATCCTCAGAAAAAGATACCATGGATATATGGTGCAATGGACAGAAAATGGAAACAGCTGTAAGTCCAGCAGTTGCTTTTTTTATTTTCATATATTTTTAAGCAGTTTTGTATATTATTTTGGTAACACTTTAACAATTAGGTTACTCTATATATTTTTAAAGCATTTAATAATCTATATTAATGTTAATTTCTTTTGTTAATTTTTCTGCTTGTTTTATACAACTTCACATTTCAAGTTGTATACAATTACATAATGTGTTATGAACGAACATAAGTTAATAATGAACAATATTATATTTATAACTGAATATCAACCTAGATTATAAAATCTGTGTAAAATGTTGTTCTTTATTAGTTCATGAAACCTTATTGTAAAGTGTTAATATTCTTTTATTATTATTATATTATTTTGTAAATAATAACAACTCCAGCCCTAGTCTTAATTTTAGCAAATAAGTATTTCTTTCTTTTTGGGAGACATTAACTTATTTATCATGCACTTTATACTTTACAACTTTGTAGAATGTTTACATTCACAAACAGTATATTACACACTGCATAAAAGGGAATATTGGAAAAAAAAAAAACATTAATGGGGCACTTTAGCACCTGTCAATTAAGGTCTTGCTCTTTAAAAGTGAATATGACTACAGTAAACCGTTGCTGATCAGCCTTTAATTCAGTTCAGTCTCAGATCAACAACACATCATATATTGCAGTCTTAGTTCACTGGTGGAAAACGATCCCATCAGATTGAATATGAATTATAGTAAAATCAGCAGAGTAGTCTAGGATTTATTTTCTCTCGCTCTGAAATTACAGTACTGCACAACTATCTAATACAGGTTCGATTAAATCCCCTGACATCAACAGGGTAAAGAGAATGTAAAAAATGTAGGTAGTTTAGATTTTTTCACAGTGACTGGTGTTTGACACTGTCAAAGTAGACTGTCACAGCCCTACTGAGCGTACCAGTTATTCAACATACGTGACCATAACTAGCATTCATTGAAGAGGAAAACATTGATCTTTCCTGCTCCTCAGGGTGAGTTTGTTGAGGACGGCACAGAGACGCACTTCTCTCTGGGTGACCACGACTGCTGCATCAAGGCTGTGAGCAGCGGAAAGAGACGAGATGGCATCATTCACACAATGCTGGTGGACGGCATGGAAATCTCAGAGTCAGAATGATCTGTGTGGATGAATGAGTGTGTGAGTGTGTTTGGATTAGCCATCCAAACATAGCATGTTCTGACCACAGATCAGCATGTGCTGGTTCAGTAAATGGGTCGTTTTAAAGGCATGAGAGACAGATGTGTCTTACAAACATTTGGTTTAGTAACATTTCTGTAATACCTCACAGCAACATTAGAGTGAGTGTTTTAACCCTTTAAACAGTTAATTTCTTAATTCCTGGAAGTGATGCCAATGTGTTTTTTTCTTCTCAATGTCCTTCTCAATAACTTTGACACGAAAAGATGTGAGGATGGATGTACCTTTACTGGATAGTTTATTATGATGCCCATGTTGATGTCAAATTGTTTATTCTTTGTGCGGTAGCACAATCATGTTCTTAATAGCATAGAGTGGTCTCCATGTGATTTCAATGTGAACATGTGTACTTGTTTAGAATATTCTGTCCAGACTCTCACCCACCGACTTCTAAATAGGGTCAGACTTCAGCAATAACTTTCTTCTGGAAATATACTGTAATGTGACTATTAATGTGTTTTTAGACACTTTGGCTAAAAGCCTTGTGACAAGCAAGATAGTTTCTTTCATTCAGGCTTCTTGTGTCTGGTGAATTCAAGATGTTGTGACGTGTTAGTCCTATGTTAACGTCAGCTTCCTTCTGTAACAATGATCTTAAATGTGAAAATATTTTCATGACATACTGTATGGAACAATGCTTAGGGTGGAACTGAAAAATAATCTGAATCTAAATATGAATCAAGCTATGTTTCCCTAAGAAATGTAAAACAAAAAAATTAATATTTAATTTTTTTTTTCTTAGTAGAATGGAAATTTGATTTGTATTCAAATGGTGTTTTTTATTTTCTTTTTTGTAATTAAATAAATATTAGAATGATGACATCAGTATTGAATTTAACTTCAATGTGCAGTTAAAATCTTAATTTGACCCGGATGTATTTCAGTATGTATGTAGGGCACTGTCGTACACTGCAAATGTTAAAAAATGTCTCGCTACAGCCTTGTTATATTTCTGTAATAAATATTTTCTTATATAAATCCAAGGAAAGTTGCATTATATATAGCTCATTGCTGTACAGAAAAGTCATCAAAAGAGAGAATTTTGGTTGAAATTTGGCATTTATTTAAGTCAAAGCTTTACATATTACTCAGTTGTGCAGATCACATGAATACAAATGTCTTGATAATTGATCAAGTAAACAGCCAGAGATCATTTGTTTTGCATTAATTAATTAATGAATTTCAGCACTTTTAAACTGTAAACCCACCACCTAAATTATTTACCCTCATTTGCATTCTTTTCTGTCGAACTGATGAACTTATCAAATCTATTTTTCTCCACCTAACACCTGTTAATATTAATAAATGTATTCATGTTTTCAAAAAGAGCTTAAACGGCAATCTAAAAGGAAAAAAAGAGTAGTTCTCAAAGTTGGTTACATCAAAGCAGGTTAAGGAACATCAAAATAATCAATTTCACAGGCATATATTACAATCAATAATCTAGTAATATGATTTAAACTAATGCTTATAAAGACCTTTAATTTTTAGTTGTAAAGTTTTGTATTTATTGTGTGGCCAGATTTGCCATTCTTTTTTATGTGCATTATAATGCATATTGCTTTGAGCAGCTACACAGGGGTGGATTTGTCACATATGATCAGGTATTCAGGAAGAGCTTGTTGACCGCTGAAGATGACACAAGTCTGTGCCCTGTCAGACACACTATGATAACGCTCCAAAGGGTCTCCCTTCATGGCAGGGGGCAAAATCAAATCTGGAGAACCAATCGTGGATTTCCCAGTGAGGACCTGGGCCTGAATGATGTAGACGTACTGCTCATGTTCCTGTTCCCTCCACAGCTTCAGGGCTCCGTCCACTGTACCGCTGAAGTATATTCCGCTGCCATACCTTTGCTCTAGAAATGAAGGAAAAAATATTTATTGAAGATATTGTAACTTGATGGCAAACATCAAAACATCATCTGTACCTTAAAAACACATAGTAAATTTTTACTTTTACAAGAAATGCCTTCAAAGAATACAAAAACGTAATTATTATTCTGAATGACATCACATTTTGTGATACCTGCAGGAGGGGCGAACTCTTTCTGAAAGCCTACTCTGCAGATGAGATCACAGAACTGAGCTGACACACGCTGGTAGAGGCGCTTGGGTTTGTCTTTCACTCTCCTCTCATTGCTGTCGAACAGCTGCTTCAGCACGATGTTCTCTAGCTTCTCCACCTGCAACAACCAGTGCAACCACATGCCATTAGATCCTATTATTGCCACAACACTGTGCTTAACTTTCTCATTGGTTCCCATATTCTAGTTGAACAGTTATAGTTTCTTTTGATAAAAAGAAATTACATGGACTAAACTGATTTGTAGCAACGGCAGCTTACTCACCTTTACAATATTGAGCCCACAAGCATAGAAGATTTTCCTTTCATCTTTTAAAGAATAATCATTCCTGGTCACATTTTTTCTTTCATAGAATGAGTTGTTAAGAGACTTGACAAAAGGAAACATGCCTGTGTTGTAAATGACAAAAGACTGGATCAGGTCATCAAATGTTATGAGACATAAACTCAACATCAACACTTTGATGCTAAGAAAACCAACTTTTGTAACTAATATATTTACAGTTTAAGCATTAAAACATACATGTCCTTTCCACAGTGCTAATTCTCCCAGTGCTGCCCACCAAAGTCCTGAGCCTCAAGCTGACTTTGTGGTTATTGACCACATGGTTTTCAGCCCCAGCCAGATAAGCCTTCTCCAAACTTGCACTGATTTCAGGTGTTTGTATCCAAGGTTCATCTTTACAGCTCCAGCGAACCACAGAATATAGCATGTCTCGTTCTTCAGCTTGGGCGAAGTCTTCCTGGGCCTTACAAAGCATGAACTCTACCTCAATTGCCACACAGCTGACATCTGAAGGACTTCCAGTGATTGTTATGCCACCATTTCCACTCCTGAAGAACTCTTCAATCTGAACATCAAACATTGTTTGGAGAGAGAGCAGGTATTCATGGTCTTTTTGTCCAAGATATATGATGTGATTATTCTTTATTGTTCGTTTTTTTGATAGGTTTAGCATTTTAACTGTCCACTCTTTTGCTTCTCTCAGGGCTTCTCCGCTGGAGCTTTGGAACTCAACAGTGGCTGTTTCATTTACTGTGGTTACTTTGGATGCAGAAGCAAATCCTGAAAGTATTAGAGACTGATATAAGAACATTTCTCGCAGTGGTTTACATGAGTATGTGGGCAAAAGTGACACTGTGAAATCATAAACATGAAAGTAAATAAAAGCAGTAATGTTGCTCACTTGTCACATCAGTGCGTGCTTCTGGGGACTTTGCCTGTCCTTTCCTTCTGTTCATCTCGTTATCAAATGCCTAAACATTATAGAAGAAATATGTGGAAAAGTTAATTTTCTGCTGAATTACATTTGTGCTTAATTCATTTTTTTCAACAACCACACTAAATTAAATTAGTAAAACAAAAATTGCTACATTAATGCTCAATCACTGAAAAGCATAGTACACAATTAGCGTTATGTCACCTCCAACATTTCACTGTCCTTTGGAAACACAACAAAGTATACATCCAGTTTTTTGGTGCTGTCTTTGCCTAATTCTGCCACAGCCTCTGTCATGATTCCAGCAACATCTCGCTTCTGAAAGCGCAGATTACCAGTACCAATTGCTGGGAAGGAGATGGACTTGTATTTCCCATCAGCTCTCCTCAGACATTCTGTGACGGCATTTTTAAGAGACTACATACAACAACATAAGACAGTGGGTAAAGATATTGACAGGCATAACTATATAAATTACATTTATATATATATATATATATATTGCTATCTACCTTATAGGACATTTCTTCTAATGCAGTATGATATACTGCTTCACATTTTAGATCATGTCCACGTGTAATATAGAGAACACCAGTTGAGAAAAGTGTGTACATTTTCGTTTTGTAAATCTCGTCTTGAATCTTTCTACCAGCTTTCTTCAAAATAGCTTTGGAAATTTCTCCTTGGTCCAATTTACAGCTTGTCGAAATTGTATTGACAATTACATCAACCTGGAGATTGAAGCAAAGTGAAATATTATATTTCTGTCACTTAATGGCACATTATTCCACACCTTTAATTTGCAACACTCTCAATCTCACTGAGCAATGTTGATTGCATGACATTACTAGTCTTACCGTTTCCTCCTCAATATAGCCCTTTTTAAGGTGTAGTGTTACATTGCCAAACTGCAAACTGTTGCTTGAAGAGGATGGCATGCTATGGACTTGCACAGCCCCACTGTATGAGCCAATGATGTTGGATGGATCTAAATGCGCTCTAGTGGCTCTTTCCATTTCTTGGACTGAGGGTTCATCATTATTGACCAGATGGATTTCTACGCTCTTGCCATAAAACCCTCTAGATTCTTGGAAGTGCTTTATAGCCTTTACAATAATGTCTGCGCAGCGATCTCTTGGAAAATTGAAAAGGCCAGAACTCAGAGCAGGAATTGCAACAGAGGGAATGTTTTGATGTGAAACAATTGTTAAGATATTAATAATAGCAAAATGTAACAAGGGTGCAGCTTGATCAAGCACCTTCTGGGATGGATTTTGAGGCACTTGAGGACCCACAGCATGTATGATCCAATTACATGGGAGATTTCCAGCAGGACTGAGCACTGCCTCACCGGTTTTCACTTTTCCTACTTGCTTAATAATATCATCACTCCATTTCTGAATCATTGGTCCCCCAGCATCACTCAGGGCTTGTGCAAGACCTCCTCCATGCTTTAGATTCTCATTGGCTGCATTTACCACAGCATACACTTTATGACGGGTAAGATCGTCTTTCCAGACTGATATTTCCACTTCACCAGACAGCTTTGTGGAGTACCTCTTCTCAGCACGTAAGGCATGACCTGTGCTACCAAAAGAGCCAGACGCTTCTATATTATGGAGAATAGCCATGCAATTAAATTTTGCCTGAACAGCTTGGCAAAAGCTACTTTGACACTTTCTCAGAATGGCAGCGTGCTCTGGAACCAGTGGAATCTGTTGTATGTCACCCATGGCTTGTCGCTTCCTGGGAACACAGAACACAATGGCTTTGGGGGAAAATAAAGTATTGACAAAATTATACAAAATATATCAGACCAAAAAATCATTAGTGAAAACACCATGATGGAATTTGTACAAGATTTATATTGGAATGCCTTTCATAAATTGGAACCATGTCCTAAAAAATACTACTTATAGGATCAAATTAATTAGCCTCCTTTAGGAATCAAATAAAATGAGTCTATCATAGGGCGATATGCCAAAAAATATTATACAGCTGTCAATATTTTTGTGAATCTTTTGACAGCAAAGTCATAGGTGGCCTAGCTGCCAAAAAGGAAGTTCATTAAAAAAAAAAAAAAAAAAAAAGTCATGCTAACTGAAAATATTTCAACACCTAGTCTCTAACATTCTCTAACATTTCACAAAAGAAAGAACTGAAGACAGGAATGAGGGCGAGTAGGCTAATGATGACATTATTATGAACTATCCCTTTAAACTGCACAACAATAACAGGAGATTCAGCAACATGGGCTAAGAATCACACAAAATTCGATTTACAAACACTAAACATTAAGAGAGTAAAACTAGTTACGTTGCGGTTTTGCAATCAACAACTTAAAGCAGAACGCCGTATTTAACGCAACACCCTAATTATCCGTGTCCGTGATAATGCCGAAACGCATCGTCAAACGGCAACAAATCCTGATCAGGAAGTAAAGTTCCATGTAGAACTGAGATGGCTACTTGAAATAACACATCTTATAGTTTTGACTATCTTCTATAGTTTTTACTAACTTCTAAAACAGCAACAAAGTTCGTTGAATTGAAATCGAAAGCAAAAGAGTTGTGGGACCTTCAATGCATTAAATGCGAACAGCGGTCGATTTACTCAATAACGTAGCTAATCTGTTTACTCACCTTCTTATTTTATCTACCGTGCAATAGGCCTACTTTCCTAGTTTTCCCCAAAAAACTGCGATGGTTTCACGTTTCGAAAAGACACTAAACGGGGTTCTGCTTGACGCTGAAACAAGTTTTTTTGTTGTTGGGGAAAAAACCCCGCCTCGTGCATGACCATTTAGGCTGCAAGGAAATCAAAAGTGAAAGTTTAAACCAATTACACTGGGTTCGACAAACACCTCAGTCACAGCAGGACAGACTGACATGGCTGAACAGTTCCTATACGCTCTCAGCGTGGAGGGCCAGTGGGACCCCAACACTCAAAAACTAAAAAATAAACTTAATATCTATTTCCAGAGTAAGAAATCCGACGGAGGCGACTGTGAGGTGGAATACGGCGTTTCTGACGGACAAACAGCAACTGTTCGATTCAAAACAGAGGAAGGTAAAATTGGCCTAACTAATCTTAAGAATTCTGACTCCCTATATCATGCATAAAGTGATGCGTTAATATTCTTCTAATTAGAAGTTTCATGCTTAGGCCTAGGCCTATGTCGAAAGATGTTGTGGAGTTACCGTACGTGGGAGGAGACCATGAAACGAAACTGATCTATAAAAAAGAATTTGCGTTATACAAATGAAAATAAATAGCCTATGTCTGTTCACTCAATGTATGTTCTGGTGTTTTTCTCAGTGAGACAGCGAGTTCTAAACAAACAAAGGCATGAGCTCAAGATTGGGCAAAAAACTGTGAAAATCATTGTGAGTCTTCCGTCATCAGATGCTTCAGTTCCTCGTGTGAGTATTAAATATCACAACCGAGTTACCTGAATGGCTAATACTTTGACATGAAGTAAAAACTAAACTTTGTTTTCTAGGAATCAACCTCTTCGGTCAGCACAATCACGGGTAAGTCCCGTTAATACTTCATAGTAAACGCTGTTCTGCTGCCCTCTGCTGGTGATGCCAGCATGAACACTTTCTTTTATAATGACTGTAAAGATCCCAGCCAACAAAAATTCTAAGAAAGTGTGGTTAAAGTTCCCATTAAGTCATGATTTCTGAGTGTTTTACAAATAAACAGAAAGCATTAAAGGAACGTTCTATTTTATAACTTTGCAATTGCAAACATTAGGCTATGAGAACTTTACTTTTGATTGTTCTCTTAAAGGGATACTCCACTTTTTTTGAAATTTTTGGAAAAGGATTTTTTTACAAATATTGCACTTCCATAGTAGGAAAAAAATATGGAAGTCAATGAGACCAGAAACTGTCTGGTTACTGATATTCTTCTAAATATCAGACAATCGGCTGAATGGATTTGAAAATGCCAATGGTAAAACTCAACCGTTTGACTCTGGGCGAGTTGTAAAACGAGCCTATTTGCAAAAAAAAAAAAAGTGGAGTATCCCTTTAACGTTCTGAAACAAGTAGTTGCATAAGTAATAACATTTGCAAATATTTCAGAAAAAAATCCATTATTACTAACTTAAATGTTTTTGTGCTGATAAACGTTAATGGAAAACCGTTTGTTCATCATTCAATCTGAATGATTTGATTTGAAATTTTGATTTGAGTTGAAAATCTGATTTGAGTTGAAATTTTATAATCCTACCTCACCTGCATACAGTTTTAAAGTTTCCGCTGAGAAAAAAAAAATTGTCAATTTCAGCATAGCTGAAAGTATTAGCAGCTGCAATAAGATGAACACCACAACAATATTACAGTAATAATACAGTTTAAAATAATACAAAAAAAAATGCTTTACACTAAAAGTGGTACTCAAGGCCCACTTGGAAAAAACTAATCTTCAGAAAATTCTACATTCTCTACATTGTTTTTCAAAAAGTGCATGAGATTTGCAAGTGGTGTCTAATTGCCTGCACTTGTTTATGGTTTAACAGAAAGAGTGATTTATTTGACACATCGGTTTAGGCGAAAATTGGGTTCAGAGAATGGGGTTTTGTGTTCTTATTTGATCACTGGGTGGCATGATTGACCAATCAGAATCAAGTATTCTATAGCAGTGGACAAAAAAGGGATAAGTATACTACTGAATAGATTTTATTCAGCTTTAGCATGGTCAGTTGCACATGATACCATTGCACAAAAAGGATACCAAGCATAATAAACATTATCTTCAGAAATCCTTAAGGTAATTTTATATTTGTATCAGCACAACTAACACCGTGTAGAACACACTGTGCTGCAATAGGAATTTGTAGTCTGCCTACACCAGACGTGACAAAGCATTTTATTTGTGTCAGAAATGCTATAGGTGCTTGGAGTACATCAGAAATAGAAATATTGCACAGAAATATTGCACCACATTGCATCCAGTGTAGACATCATCACTGATTGTAATGGATTCTATTGTTTGTTCCTGTGTTGAGTCGCACCACTCGCCACCATTGATGGATGATGTTTTTATATTCAGGTGAACCCCACTGTGAAGAAGAAGAAGAAGAAGAAGAAGAAGAAGAAGAAGAAGAGACGGTTGAGCCACCTGAGAAAACAGAAGAAGATACAACCCATAGATCAGCTGTAATAGAAAACATCCAAAACAACGGTCAAGAGTTTCTGACAATGCTGGTGGAAAATGTGCTGAAAGGGTCTTCTGTCGAGTCAAAGGACTTCAGCATTGAAACGATACCAGAGAGCAATTGTGCTGTGGTAACCTTTTCTTATAGCAAGGGTAAGTCATGGGTTGTGTTTCCCAATAGAGTATACTCTTCAGATGTACATGCAAAATGGTATGGGGGGTGGGATGTTCTGGGTGTTAATCACCTTGCCTCTAACCCACGTTTCCTGTTACATATATTTTGTTCCACACAGATACAAAAAACTTCATTATATCCAGCCCAAGCAATGGAATTGTTAAGAGGAAAAACATTAAAGTCCGATTACTTGAGATGACATCGAAGGTGAAAGCTGAAGGCTTACCTCCGAACACAAACTTAGACTACCTCATGCTCTATTTTGAAAAATTTGGAGAAGTAGAGGATGATGGGGTTACCATGGAAACAGATCAGTCAGCAATAATCACTTTTAAAAATCCTGAAGGTAATGAAGGTGGTTACAATAAAAATGTTTGTATTGAATTTAATTTGGACATATGCCTAAACTATACAATATGTGCTTTTTCAGATGTGCAAACAGTCATCAACCATCAACATCAGATTAAAAAGCAGCCTTTCAGAGTACTGCCATACTACGAAACACTACAAACAGCTCTATATGGTAAAGATAGACCCACTCTGAGACTTCCAGAGGAATTTATTGAGAACATTGATAAGACTATATGGCACCACTTTAAGGAAAACCAAAAATCTCTGGGTTTAGTCACCCAAGCTATATCCAGTCATTTTGGTAAGATGGATTTTCAATCCCCAGCAGTGAAAATCAGTCCTTCATCATCCTTACTTAACCAAGGCGGGCAAACAAGAAAACTCATTCAAACGTGGAAAGAAAATGCCCTCTCTGGCTTCTCAGTGGCTATGTCTAACTTTAAATCCATTGAGCTCCAAATTCAGAAGGATGCATGGACAGAGATACAGCCTGAAATTCAAAATACAGTGATGGGAGAGGCAGTCACCCTGGTTCCCTGCACAGATGAAGGGACAATAGCTGTAGCCGGACTGAAAGAAGATGTGGACAGGATTGAGGGAATTCTGAGACAAACTGTTCAGAGAGTCACCGAAAGAATCCAAAGGGAGAAGGGTAGTGAGACTGACGAATTAAAATTAACTCCATCCATTTACACGCTTCTTTTCTGTGATGGTTTGAAGCAGCAAACTCAAGACAAATTTCCAGAAATGGACATAACCTACCATGCGCACAGCCAAAAGTTAACTCTTTACGGTCTAAAAGATGAGGTGCTGGAAACAAAGAACAATATACTGGAGGCTGTTCTTAATTTAATTCGTAAACCAATTGAGCTTCACCAATCTGTTTTAGATTTTCTACAAAAGAAGGATCTGGAGGAAATGTCCAACGTTTTGTTTTTTAACAAAGAAATTAATGTCGCATTAGAATCTGATGGAAAGAGAGTTTTGCTTGTTGGAAAAACAGACAATGACTTGGATGTTGGTGAGAAGCGACTGCAGACAGATCTGGATCATTTGAGCTTCAACGTAGAAGATCCCAGTGTTCTAACGAGATCAGATTGGCAAGACCTTGTCTCTCACGTAAAAAACAATGTTAAAAATGTTACAGTACAGACATCCATCAACCAGGTGGTGGTTTCTGGTTTTGTAGACTCTATCAAGGGTGTTGAACAAGAGTTAAATGATTTTGTTCAGAAAAACTCACACATCGAGGAAACCCTGAAGGCTCACAAGACCGTCGTCACATTCATCAAGGATCACAAAAATCAGGACTGGCTTGAAGAGGTGAGAGGTAAAGTGAATGTGGACTTCAAAGATGAAACCATCATGATCAGTGGCCCAAAGCTGTATGTCTCTGAGTGTGTGTCTCTATTTGAGGACTTGCTTATGTCTGTGCATCACTGCACCATGAAAATTGTTAAACCAGGGGCAAAGAAGTTCTTCAAGGAGAAAGAGTCAGTGTGTGTGACATGTGCCAAGACAAATATGAATTGCCTGGTCCAACTAATAGATGAGTATGACCACCCACATGACGCTGTTCAGTCACAGTTAATAAAGCCTGCGTATCAATATAAATCACGTGAAGGAATTGAAATTACAGTAAACAAAGCTGACATGTGTTCATTTCAAGTGGATGCAGTGGTTGGTGCATGCAAAGAGACGCTCCTACTGGATGGAGGTTTAGCAAAAGCACTCTCAGATGCTGCTGGTCCTAAACTTCAGGATGCCTGCGACAAGCTTGTCAAAAGACGGAAGTTGACAACAGGTGACGCAGTTCTCCTCGAAGCAGGAGGACGGCTGCGATGCAAGCATGTCATCTTAGCAATAGGACCACACTATAATCCTTCAAAACCTCAGGAGTCCGAAAAGCTCCTGAAGAAGGCTGTGAAGAAGAGTCTGAATGTGGCAGATCAAGAAAGCTTCCAGTCGTTGGCAATCCCAGCCATTAGCTCTGGTGCATTTGGTTTCCCTCTGGACCTTTGTGCATGTACCATTGTGAAAGCTATAAAAGAGTTCTGTGATTTTGTTGAAGGGGACATTGCACTGAGGAAGATTCACCTAGTTGACAATAATGATAAAACGGTTCAAGCTTTAGAAGCTGCTGTGAAGAAAATTTATGGGGTCAGTTCACCTACCCAAATCATAACAGCTGGAAGCAGTTCAAGCAGCCAGCAGCAAAACCAAGCAAGCTCTTCTCCAAGCCAACACCAGATAACTGTGCTCTCTCAAGGGGCATCACAGAGTTTTCTGACAAAAGAAGGCTTAACTATCACACTTATGAAAGGAAACATTGAGGATACAACAGTGAGTTTACAGATTATGCATAATATTATTTGGTGTATTGTTTTATTCTGATGTGCATTTTTGGATTTGTAATATCAAAATGTCTAGATTTAGTTTTTTTCTAAAAAAAAAGATTTTGTTGTTGTTGTTGTTGTTGTTCAAGAAATTCCTAAGTGAATGCTGGAGCATGATTTGAGCAAACCAATCCTTTGTAAATAAATGCTCTTTTTTTTTGTGTGTGTAGATGGATGTTGTTGTGAACACTCTCAGCAGTGACCTGAATCTTGGTGTGGGAGCTATTTCAATTGCCCTTCTCAAAGCAGCTGGTCCACAGCTTCAGGTTCTGCTCAATCAGCAAGTCACAGGCTCTGCAAACGTCGGAGCAGTCTTTGAAACAGCTGGTGCAAACCTGAAGAACAAACTGGTGTTCCATGCAGTTGTACCACATTGGAATCAGGGACAAGGGAACGAGTCAAAGGTAGAACTCATTGATTGATTTAGAGATTACT